TCGTCATCGTCACCAAAAGATCGCGATCATAACGATTAAGGTTTTCGTTTTCCCTTTTAAGATCTACACCAAATTAGGCATCGTCTGCAAAAATCAATTACATATTAGCAATCAACAAGAGAAGACGAATCAGAAAATGTAAGAAAAATGATGTTTGGAGCCTCACCACCGCCGTCGCTGCCGCAAGGGCGATTTCTAGCGCGGCATCTTTCTCTTCTCTGACGAAGAGAGTATCAGAGAGAACAAGAGGAAATATAAAACAAGAAAGAGAGAGTGTTTCAGTTCAAATGACAACTTTTTTCTCTTTACTGTTCTTTTGATGTTTCATATTTTCATTGGGCCTTACAAACTTCAGCCCAGCCCCAACCCAATTTACTTCAATATCCCTCCCCATTGCTATTTACACCACCCTTGCATTTTCTTCTATGCTGCTAACAACCAAATAACATCAAGCTCATTTACTTTACTCATGCCCACCCCCTTCTCTTTTCAGTACCACGTAACAACAACATATTGGGCCTGACTATTTTTTACTCCCACTCACTCCCTGATTACTTTACCACGCAGCCCAACTCAGTTCTTATTTTATTTTATTTTGTTTTTATTTTGATTACAAAAAAAAACACCATTGGGCCTAATACAAAACAAAACCTGTTTTTCTTTCAAAAAATTAGGTTAAAACCCTCTTATACAAAAAATTGAAACAAAAAATAATTTTCTTTTCTTGTATATTATTTTCACATTCTTGTACATTTTTATTGTTATTCATTATTCAATATGGTTGTAATAGTAATTAGAACTTTATTGCTTTATATTTCTCATTTGTAATTTGTATCCATATCCCAGATGATGTGATAACATAGAAATTTACATTTATGCAATTTATCACTTTTAATACAAATGCTAGTAATTAGGATTAGTATGTCAAGACATAAAATCAACAAGTAGAAAACCCTAATTTAAGACAAAAATGCATGAAATCAAAACACTTTGCACACTTACACCTTTAGGGTTGACCTTACTTGTTGCCTAAGATAAAAATAGTCATGTTACATAAACGTGGGATACTTTAACAAAAACAATAAAAAACAAGATCATAGTAACTCGATGACCCTTCCAATGTTGCCTTCATAAAAGATCTAAAGACCCTTACAAAAATTGCTAAGGTATCCTACAATGTTGCTTTCTATGACTATACAACGACCCACGTATGTCCCTGCATATCCAATGATAGAGCTTCTTATCAATCAATGATAAGATACTAATATCTAAAGAAGGAGGAAATGAACAAAGACTTTTTGAGTAGGTAGAACGTTCGTAGTTGCTTTCTCACAACCATTTTCAAAAAATCTTTCAAATACACCAACACTTTCAAATAAAATATTTTCAAAAGTCAATATTTTGTATGCATTCTTATAGAGACGAGAATCATTACAAAATTCGCCTAAACAAAGGCACTTTCAAAAATACTTTCAAACTATCACAAACACATTTCAAACAAAGCATTTTAAAGTGAGCTAACAACTAAGAGCCCTTAGATAACTACAGATGAAAAGGGTTCTAACAACTTCCCTTTTCATAACCTACCCCCCGAACTCAAGAAAATTCTCAAAAGGTCTTTCATGTTCTTTTCACCCTTTCCTTATTGGATAAAAGAAAAGTCAGTGGCGACTCTTGCTATCCGCAATATTACGATAAAACGCAAAACATCCAAGTCAGTTCTCCCACCGTATTACACCTACAAACCATATTTGATGACTCCCCTGAGCAACAAATCCAGGTGGTTGCTCCATATATACTTCTTCTTCAAGATCACCGTGTAAAAATGCATTTTTAATGTCAAGTTGATGAAGAGGCCAATGTCGAATGGCTGAAATGGCTAGAAGAAATCTAACAGATGCCATCTTGGCTACAAGCTAGAACATATCACTGTAATCCGACCAAAAATATGAGTGTGTCCTTTGGCTACCAAGCGAGCTTTAAATCGATCAATATTGCCATCTGGACCAACTTTCACTGTATAAAGCCAACGGAAACCTACTAAAGATTTCTCAGGGGGTAGAAGAACCAGTTCCCATGTACCACTGCTTTGAAGAGCACACAATTTATCAATCATTGCTTGCCTCCACTCAGGGTGGGATAATGCTTCACCTGGAGTGTTAGAAATAGAAACAGAAGACAAACAAGTATACTGTAAAGGGGAAAGACAATGATAGCATAAATCAATATAATGTGGAGAAGGATTTCGTGTTTGACGTATACCTTTTCGAAGGGCAATCGAAAGATCGGAATCAGGTTGTAGGATCAGATTCGGTGATGGCGAGAGCGTCGGAGGAGAGTCTGCAATAACCTCAGAGACATGTGCGACCTCATGGACAGGTACGACAGACGTTGGTTGATGACGATGCTATGTTTGAAGTGGAAGAGAAGTTGAGGGGTCAACTGTAGGGTTATCTATTGGGCCAGATTCCCTAGAATGATGGGGGATAGTGACATATGGGACTTCCAGAAGAGGTGTGAGAGTACTCTCCTGAAAGGGTTCCGGAGTTACTTGGCTGGACTCGAAATATGGAACAAACTCGAAGAAGGTGACATCGATCGGCATGAGGTATCATTGTAGGGTATGTGAATAGCAATGATAACCTTTTTGGGATCGATGATAACCAAGAAAACCACACTTTAATGATCGAGCTGATAGTTTATCAAGACCAGGAGAGAGATTGTGTACAAAACATGTAGAACCGAAGACTCGGGAAGGAATTGGGTGAAGGAGGGAATAGGGAAAAAGGATTGAATGAGGGATTTTATTGTTAAGGACAGATGATGGCATGCGATTTATAAGGTAACATGATGTTAGCACAACGTCTCCCTAAAACCGAAGTAGAACATTACCATGGAGAAGTAGGGTCCGAATGGTTTCTACAAGATACCGATTTTTGCGTTCGACTACTCAGTTTTGTTGAGGTGTATAAGGGCAAGATGTTTGGTGGAGAATACCATTACTGGACATAAAAGTTTGAAATTGTTGGGATAAATATTAACGAGCATTATCACTTCTTAAGGTACGAATAGACACACCAAACTGAGTTTTTATTTCTTTATAATTTTTTTCAAAAATAGAAAATAATTCTGATATAATTTTCATTAAAAATAATCACGTGCAACGTGAAAAATCATCAATAAAGGTGACAAAATACATAGACTCAAGAGTAGAGATAGTACGTGAGGGACCCCAAACATCAGAGTGAACTAAAGCAAAAGGGGATGAAGCTCGTTTATTGAATCGATTGGGAAATTGACTACAAGTGTGTTTCCCTAACTGACATGAGTCACAATGTAAATTAGATACTTTTAATAAACTTGACACCAACTTCTGTAATTTGGGAAGACTAGGATGACCTAACTGAGCATAGATTGTGAGTGGAGAATCTTTGGCTGAGTATGTTTGAGATGACACTGAGAGGTAATAAAGGCCTTGAGACTCACATCCTATGCCAATTGTCCGCTCCGAACTACGATCCTGCAAAGTGACATTACTATTAGTGAAGATGACAATACAATAAAGAGAACGAGTTAAACGGTTGGAAGTAAATTAAATGGACAATTAGGTACATAGAGTACAAAAGTAACAAAGAGAGAAGGTATAATTTGAACAATACCAATTCCTTTGGATTGAGTTTGAGAACTATTGGCAGAAGTTATAATAGGTATGAAATCAGAGGTAGAGAGGGAAGAGAAAATATTTTTATTACCACTAACATGATCATACCCACCAGAATCAAGGACCCAAGGTCCAAGAAAAGATGATTGAGAGGAGCAAACATGTGAATTATCAGTGTGTGCAACCGAAGCAGTAGAATCTGTGTTCTGATACCACTTGAGGAAATCATCATAGTTTGGCGTAAAGTTCTGAAGAGTAGCCATGAGTATCGTATTTAGAAAAATTTCATGGTGGCGAGTGCGGTGGTGGAAAAATCTTCAGGATTGGTCGGATCAAAGGAGGCGCTTTTGCCGATAGGGTTAGTTTGCCGGAAGGTTTCCAAAATTAGTAGCCGCGGATGGCGGCAACAATTCGGGGGTTACCGGAGAATTTTGGAATGTGAGAGGCAAACCGGTGTGATGACACTGTTTGCAAAAATAAAATAAAAATTTGTCACCCGAAGACAGTGGGTCAACCGGATAAAGAAGGGCGAAGAATTGCCTCTTAGTAGACTCCAAATACCATGTTGAATTAGGAAAGACTAAGAGACATTTAGGTTAAACCGTGTATTTTGAAAGCACTACTGAGACTTTATTATATAGAGAGAGATTACAACTAACTACATGATATAATTGATGTGGGACTATTCTACATACAAATATTCTTAACACTATATATTTACAAATATCAACACAAGTAAAGTGTTAGAGTATGGATGAATAAATGAATATCTGACCCTCTTAAGTGAGTGGGTATTTATATCCTCCAACACTAGGCCAAGGTCCTCATATTGGGCTGACAGAGCAGGTCCAAAATGGAGATTGTCAGGTCCTACGTGTGTAGTGGAGGCTAGCACGTGGTCTCCAACCTGAATGGACTCCTCTGAATCATCAAGAGGATGTGGACGCGGTCTCTTCGGGGTCAAGGGAACTCCGAGATATTCAGAGGCGTTGGATGCTTGCCCTACACGAGGAGGGTGCTCTTGAGGACCTCTTGAGCACTGTTGGACCTCCTCTCCAGTCATGCAGTGAGATTGTCCCCGGAGGGCGTATTCTGGTCGACAAGAGGAGTGAAGTCACTTCCCGACATGGTCAAGAGCAGACTCTCTCCTGCTGGTCTTCTCTTGCAACATAGTTGGATTGGGTCTTGTATGATGTTTGGGACAAATGCGAACCTAGTCCAAAAAGTATTCAATAATGGTGGTGACAGAAGAGACCTTCTTCCAATTTCCCCTTCACAAATGTTCTAGCCAATTTAGATTATGGTTGTGTTTATATGGTTATACATTTGCTGATCAATTATGTTTTTTGTCCTGATCTCAGCAAATCCAATACTAGCTGTAACTGAGTTTGTTGCTCAGCTGACAATCCTTGAATTGCTAGACAATGTACGTGCTCATCATCCACTTTCTTTTTGCATGTTCTTCTTTACAAAATTTCTCTATATTGATCTAAAGCACCTATTGTAAAAAATTAGGCAATTTTTACTGCTGGCTACAAGGCTATCCTGCATGCCCACTATGTAGTTGAAGAATGTGAGGTTACTGAGCTCTTGCATCAATGTGATCCAAAGACAAAACAGTTTATGAAAAATAAAGTCCTCTTTGTGAAGAATGGTGCAGTTGTTGATTGTCGAATTCAAGTACATGCTCCATTGTAAATTTGGATATGAATTTGGCTTTACAAATTGTTATATTGTCATACTAGGGTTTTCTAGGGATGTTAAAAGATTTAAACTTATGATGATCATGTGGTTGGAAAGTTGAGTTTCAGACAGAGGAATTAGTTGCTTATGGAATGGTCATTTATTATTGTTTTCAATAATTTTATTAAGCTTCATCTGATTTTGTTTTGGAAACGTTCTTACAGGTTAGTAACTCCATATGCATCGAGAAATTCTCTGACTTTCGACAACTTGGGAGATTCACTCTTCGCACTGAAGGTAATATTTAAGAAATTATGTCTTCTTTTTTGTTCAAAATCATCATAGTTATGCTGAAAGCACATTACCCTGTCCCGCAGGAAAAACTGTTGCCTTTGGAAAAGTCATGGGTTTTTAAATAGAGAGCACGATTTTGACTTGAGGTAAATAATATTCCATTCTTTGCTTGTTTGTCGTGTCAAGCAGCTCTTGCTTTCCACGGTCAACCTTTTTAGTGGCAACTTTTGTGTCATGCATGACAGTCTTGTTTGTTTCTTTAGGTTTTGTTTGGGAGTTTGGAAGGGAGGGGGAAAAGGGGCTTCGAAAAATGATTTTTTTTTAAAATATAAAGAAATCTTTAACATTTTTTGGAAAAAGATTTGGTATAGAATGATAAAATAATGCTAATCATCAAGATATTTTTAATTTTTGAAATACTACAAAAATTATATTTGAGCAATTTGTCCAAACCCTTCAAAATCCTCATCCAATACAAATTTTAAGCTCACAAATTAGAGTTTTTTTTTTATAACCAAATTAGAGAGTTTTTGGTGTTATGAATAAAAGCAAACCTTCCAAAATCCTCCCGGCCAAAATCCTTCTATTCTTTTTACTCAATCTTTCCCTTTTCTTCAAAGCACTCCCCTCTATTTCCCACTAAACTCCCAAACAAAGCCCTAGTGTATGTAACCTGGTTCTCTTGTTAATTCCTGTCAAGTACCTTTTCTACACAACTGATATATTTAGATATTTGTGTTAAGATAATAGAAAGCAGTTAAACTGTAACAGAATTGAATCACACTTCATTGCACTTAGAATCGTTACAACAGACCCATATATAGGCCTAACAGAAATGCCAGCTCAGCAAAGCTGAACTAACTAAACAATCTATATATATAGGCCTAATAGAAGAGTAATCTATATTTATCTCTAATAGTCCCCCTTAGAAACCAAGGGTGCCTTCAAAAGTTCCTTTGTGTTGTAAACTCTCAGTTTGTCCCTTAGAGGGAGAAACTTATTAGCAGAAAGTGGCTTAGTAAGGGCATCTGCCCATTGATCTTGAGCTGGAACATGAGCAACTGTCAAGCTTTTGTTGAGGACTTTTTCTCTAACAAAGAAAATATCAAGCTCCATGTGCTTTGTCCTATTGTGAAGAATAGGATTATGAGCCAAAGTGACTGTACTTAAGTTGTCACAGAGAATTCTAGGAATCTGAAATTGACAGTGAAGTTCAGTTAAGAGAGATTGAATCCAAATCAGTTCAGCAGCTAATTGAGCCATACTTCTATACTCGGCTTCAGCACTAGACCTTGCCACAAGTTGCTGCTTCTTTGACCACCAGGATATGAGATTAGGACCTAAAAACACACAGGCACCTGAAGTGGATCTTCTATCATCAGGGTCTGCTGCCCAGTCAGCATCACAGAACCCTAAAAGAGACAGAGGCTGCTGCTTGGAGGCAGGCTGAATTAGTAAACCATGATGAACTGTTCCACTAAGATACCGAAGTATCCTCTTGACAGCCTTCCAATGCTCCTCTAACGGATTGGAAAGGAATTGGCAGACTTTATTGACAGAAAAAGAGAGTTCAGGTCTGGTTAATGTTGCATACTGTAGGGCTCCAACTACAGATCTGAAAAGAGTGGGATCAGTAACAGACTCTGAACCACATTTAGAGAGTTTGCTGCTTGAAACCATAGGGGTGGGCATAGAGTTAGCAGTGGACATGTTTACTCTAGCAAGCAAATCAGTGATGTACTTGGACTGAGAGAGAAGTAAGGCTCCATTGGGAAGATGATTCACTTGAATCCCTAAGAAATAGTCCAGTTGCCCCAAGTCTTTAAGAGCAAATGTGGTGTTGAGAGTTTTGATAAGATTAGAAATATAAGAGGGAGAATTTCCTGTGATTATTATGTCATCCACATACACTAAAATCAAGATGGTTAGGCTGTCACTGTGAAGAAAAAATAGACTAGGATCACACTTGCTTGCCTTCAGCCCAAGCTTGAGGAGAAAACCTTTCAGCCTATCAAACCAGGCCCTGGGGGCCTGCTTTAGCCCATATAAAGCTTTGTTAAGCTTGCAGACAAGGGACCTGTCATCAGCTTCAAAGCCAGGTGGCTGCACCATGTAGACTTCTTCTTCAAGAATGCCATTTAGAAAGGCATTGTTGATGTCAATTTGCCTAATAGACCACCTGTTTGAAACAGCCAGAGTTAGCACAGTTCTAACAGTAACCGGTTTGACAACCGGAGAAAATGTCTCAGTAAAGTCACTGCCAGCCCTTTGATGGAAGCCTTTGGCTACCAGGCGAGCCTTATATCTGTGAATGGAGCCATCAGGATGTTCCTTAACACGAAAAACCCACTTACAGCCAATAGGCTTAGCTGAAATAGGAGGAGTCACCAAGTTCCACGTCTGATTTTTCAAGAGTGCCTGAAATTCATCCTTCATGGCCTGAAGCCAGAGAGGGGAAGCCAAAGCTTGTTTAACTGTTGTAGGTTCCATGTGGGTTAAGAGAAGGGTGGGGTGACGTTTGGGTTGCACAATCCCAGATTTAGCACGGGTTTGCATAGGATGAACATTAAGGGAATGAATTGGATGAGACATAGGAGCATGAGGAGAGCTGGAACCAATTGGTGAGGCAGAAGATGGCTGAGAGAAAGGAGAAATGGTGCTGTTTTCAGCTATGTCAGCCATAGCAGATTGAGAGGACTGAGGAGATGCCAAACTATTGTTGGAGATAGCATCTGAAGCTGCTGATCCTAGGACAGAACTAGATTGCACAGGAGAACCTTGGGTTACAGGGGAAGAAATAGGAGTATGGAGGGGCTGATTCATAGTGGGTGAAGCAGGAGGAACTTGATGCAAAGGGGTAGCTTGGATGGGAGGCAGAATAGGTGGCATGGCAGAAGTATACCATGAGTGAGATGAGGGAGCAGAGGTAGATGACTGGGATGGGAAAAACAGTTCTAGATAGGGGAATCTACCCTCATTAAAAAGGACATCCTTGGAGATGTAGATAGTGCCATTGGCAGCCAAACATTTGTAACCTTTGTGACTTGAGGAATAGCCTAGAAACACACACTCTTGAGAACGAAAATCCAGTTTGTGTGAGTTATATGGCCTAAGAAAGGGAAAGCAAGCACATCCAAATACACGAAGACAAGAATAGTCAGGGGATTTGTGCATTAGAAGAGTATAAGGAGACAAATTGTTAAGAGAGGTGATAGGCAGTCTATTGATAAGAAAGGCTGCAGTGACAAAGGCATGATCCCAATAACGCATTGGGAGTTTGGAGTGTGCTAAAAGAGCTAAACCGGTTTCAACAATGTGACGATGTTTCCTTTCCACTATGCCATTTTGATGGTGTGTGTAAGGACAGGTAAATCTATGCACAATACCTAAGTTGGTGAGGTACTTGGTGAAAGGTTTGAACTCACCACCTCCATCACTTTGGACAGTTTTAATTTTGCAATTAAACTGAAGTTCTGCCATGGTTTTAAATTGAATGAATTGGGATAGGGTGTGAGATTTTAGTTTGAGTGGAAAGACCCAAACAAATCTAGAGAATGCATCCACACAGGTTAGGAAATAGGAATAACCACCTGAAGATGACACAGGAGCTGGCCCCCATAAGTCACAGACAACTAACTCAAAGGGATGGTGATAAATGGTAGTTGATAAAGAGGAAGGAAGTCTGTGTGATTTGCCTTGACAGCAGGCAGCACATAGAGCATTTGGTGGTTTGGGAGGGAGAGGAATATTGTACAGTTTGAGTACTTCAGAGAGGGCATGGTGATGGGGATGGCCAAGTCTTGAATGCCATAGATGATATTTAGAATCTGAGATAGTTATATTGACTGCAGGATTAGTAGTAGACACAGAATATGGCTTAGTAAAATTTGAAATACTTTTATTCATAGTGGAAGGAGTATTACAAAGATCAGCATTACAATGTTCAATAGATTTTGCTGCAGATAGAGTACTTAGACAAGATGGACTAGGCTTATTACAAATGCTATTTCTATTAGGCTGAAGCTTGGACATAGCAGGATTAGCAAATCTGTAGAGACCATCAGCTCCCACAGTGCCATGAAGAAGAATCTCAAAAGAATCCTGCGATTTGACAAGACAAAACTGAGGATGGAATTCAAAGAAAACACGATTATCCTGAGCAAACTTGCTGACACTGATGAGATTCTTAGTGATATGAGGTACAAGCAGAAGTTTAGTGAGAATTAGAGAAGAATTAGGCTGTGTTTGTGAGGGAAAAGTCATAGAACCTACAGAATTAATTAACAAACCTTGGCCATTACCCATGTACACTTGTTCAGTTCCATTCAGAGATAAAGCATCAGACAAATTCGAAGCATCAGGTGTCACATGGTGAGATGCGCCAGAGTCAGGGTACCACCATTGGTTGCTGAAATGAGGATCAGATCCTGCAATAAAGGCTTGAGGAACAGGTGCTCTTGGTGGTGCTGAAGCACGGGGAGGAGCATAACCATACGCATTATAGGTAGGAGCACGAGGTGGCACTGCATAAGGATTGAATGGAGCTCTGGGAGCAATGAATGAGGGAGTTCCAGGATAGGAATACCTGTGGTAGCAGACAGATGCATCGTGACCAGATTTGCGGCAAATTTAACATGAAACTCTCCCAAATCGGCCACCACCACGACCGGAGCGACCTCCACCACGCCAATTACGTCCACCACGAGTTCCGTATCCTTGATTCTCAGCGTTTGCTGTAATATGACTGGTACCAGTAGGAAATTCAGAACTAGAATCCACACCAGAAGCATCTGTAGTGGACTGTGACGGTGCTGGTGATGATTGAGTTAGATTCACTGTAGCAGATTCAGTTAGGGCAGACTTACGATTCTTCTCAAGGCGCGATTCATGAGCAAGAAGACTCGACTCAAGCTCATCCAACGAACACATATCTTCTTTGCTGTTGATCGCCGCGACAATTGAATCGTATTCTTCAGGGAGTGCATCAAGCACTATTTCAATTAGGTTTCGAAAGGGAACAGGATCACCGATTGAAACCAGAGCTTCGCTGATTTCACGAACACGAACAAGAAACTCAGTGATGGTGCGAGAACCTTTGGTCAAGTAGCGTAGCTCAGATCGAAGTTGTCTCGCCTTCGTAGCAAGAAGAGTGGTGAAGTGACGATGAACCTCAGTCCATACTTGCCACGAATAGGTGCAATCCACCAGTTTAGGAAGCAGCGAATCGGAGATCGTGCTGAGGAGCCAGGTGCAGATTAGGGCGTCCTGCTGTTCCCAATCGAGAAACGCTGGATTGGCGCCGCCGGTAACAGGATCGGTGCCGGAGAGGAGGCGCGGAGGTACAAGCGGTGTCGTGACGAATTGCTGAAGCTTGTGTCCTCTGATAACGCCTTCAATTTGTTGTTTCCACTGTTTGAAGTTCTTCTCATCAAGCTTCACCGAGATGAGATGTGACAGTTTGACATGAGAGGAAGGAAAGCTTCCCTCAGAATTGAAAGGAGATGCCATGGAAGCCCTAGATCAAGAAAATAGCTCTAGATACCATGTTAAGATAATAGAAAGCAGTTAAACTGTAACAGAATTGAATCACACTTCATTGCACTTAGAATCGTTACAACAGACCTATATATAGGCCTAACAGAAATGCCAGCTCAGCAAAGCTGAACTAACTAAACAATCTATATATATAGGCCTAATAGAAGAGTAATCTATATTTATCTCTAATAATTTGGACATTTAACTTGGAGCTCAAATCAGTGTTATCTAATATCAGCCATGGCAGCACTATGCTGGATATAAGTGGCAGTTTTGGATTTCAACTACCACACTCTTATGCAGTGACTAATTGCTCGACCATGTTACTCATCGTGGGTAGTTTGTGGGATGGCTGCGGATTGCCCTTCCCATTGCAAAATCTGAGTGGATTAGTAGGATGATAACAAACATCTTCTTAGCCACTCCAATATGTGCTGAACAAAAGTGGTTTTTCTTGCCCTTTTTTGTTGAAAAATTCATTTAGTCAATCACAATTTTGACCAAACAATAACATGGTTCTGTCTTAACTCTCAATAAAGAATGCTATTTTTCTAAAAAGTGGACATTGAACATGACATTAAGCGTATAATTAAGAAATATAAATAATTAAATATATGCATTAGTGTCTAACACCAAACACCTCTAGATATGTCTTTAATCTAAAGTGTCAATAATATACTAATAACTAAAAGTGCAAAGTTTCATGCTTATTACTTTACACAACATTAACATTTGGATTTCTCGTAGGTTTCATCCACATATCAGCCACAATTCTTGATGAAATACTCCACAACAAATCTTGCCCTTTCACCAATGCATGTTTTCCTTTCTTCCCTCCTTTTCCTAATCCATATTCAACCAACCATTGCATTGAAGTTAGCCTTTGCTTCTCACTATCCCAACCATTCTTCTTTCCATCACCACTCCTCACCTTAAACCCTCCCACATGCATACTACTTACTCTAAACCTCTTCTCATCTTCATAATGATCATCACCCTTTGTGTCCACATTTGTTGCATGGATTAACACCATCACAGGTCCTCCAACTGCTTCGTACCTTCTTATTGGATCCCTTAATTGAACAACAAACATCAATGTGATATTCGATATTTCATCGTTTACAAAGCTTTGATCTCTAATCCAATCCTCAAGAGAAATAGCAGAACTCAAAAGATCTTTTTCTTTGTTCCCTTCCTTTGTACCGAATGAAGAAACATCGAATGGAGCTTCTTCTTCCGCCATATCAGCTTGAATTTTCAACGCTTCAATAGCCATGAACTCGATCTTCTGCATTGTAAAAGCTAGAATTTTCTCTGCCGTAAGTGGAATATCATCAACGTTCCAAATCCCTGTCGAGATTCTTTCCTGTCTTCCTAAACTCATTGCGTTTGCCATTTCTTTCAAAGCGGAAACTATCCGCGCGGCACTTGAGCTAGCTCCTTCTTTGTTTCTACCTTGTATGATGGCAGAAGCAATGCCTTCAAAAGCAATCTGTTCAGCAGTTTTACCTACGAGTTCGTCTATAGGCATCAACGAGAAAATTTGAGAACTAAGTTCGTCAAGATCAACGGAAGCCAATTTCTGAAATAACTCGAATCCGTTTAAGGATTGTTGAAATGCCAACACAAATGGCTTCGACATTTGCATTGCTAGCTTCGGAGTATCGTTTCTAGCTACATGATTGTCTAAGGGATTCATCGATGCTAAGTAGCCTCCATCTTTTGTTTGAACAACGCAACCTAAGCCTTTTCCAAGATCAGAAAGGTACACTTTGGAGTTGGATTCTCCACATGATGAAGAAGTCTCATCATGTTCTTCGAGTTCTAAACGCGGAATTTCAGATTTGTTGATTTTGGATATTCTAGACCTTTGATCTTCAAGCATATGAAGAAACTCTCTAGTAACATTTTCTTCATCAGAATCCAATCTTTGTGATTCCGTGTCGAAATCTTTGTTGTTTTCTCCCATCATGGATTCGAGAGCCTTTATTTGCTTAGAAAGTGAATCAAGTTCTGTTAATCTTGCTAAGTGCAATTGATCATGGACTATTTCCTTAACAATTTCACTTGAAGATGATTTCACTCCAACAGATTTCTCAGATCCTTCAACTTCAACTCCTCTATCAACAACCTCGAATTCTGGAAGATCAAGATCAAAATCCTCCACTTTTTCTTTGTCATCAAAAACTCTCTGACTAGATGGATATGAATCATGAACTTGATTTGGATCATCATCATCAAGATTCAAACCATTCATACCTTGGATATCTTCTGCTAACCTTCTTTGCGAAGGAGTCCAAGCATCGTTTCTGGTAACGATTCTTGGACTAGGCATGCTAAACGAGGACTTGGATTGTCGACGAGCAAGCGAAGAAGTAAAGTTTTTGAACCTACTACTAGGCTTCAGATTCTCCTCATTGCTATATATTTCAACTCCTCCATCTTTCTCAATGACTTGAAACCCAAGTTTCAATACCAACTCTCCTCCATTTGCTTTTCCTGATAAACCAAAGCTTGTCTCCCACTGCCTAACTCGATTTCCTAGCCGGCTTTTCTCGATCGATTCTTGAATCAACTGGCTTAAGTCCACTAAATTTCTTCCAAAATTAAGCTCTTTCGCATCGACTGCGAAAAGATATATAAAAAATGGCCTTGACTCAAATTTCAGATTCTTTCCATTACCTTGTTGATTGCAATAAACATTACACCTAATGAAAAGCGTCTCTTCAAAATCAGCAGCACCTTGAGAAACTCTTGATGGCATTGTTTGAACAGAACCATCTTTATTCTCTTTCTTTCTAACACAAACAGAAAGCCTTAGTCCATTCATTGATGAAGGAAGTGATTGAGCAGTGATTATTTCAACAGAAAACAAACAGCTTATTTTCTGCTTACCAATATGTGAAATAGCCCTTATAGGCTTCCAATTCCATATCCCTTTTTTCTCAGCTGAACTCGCCTTTTCCTCGAACTTCTTGTTATCTGATAGAGTAGATGATAGTGATGACGGTGATGATGGTGACAATGGCGTAACATCTTCGATATTTGTTGTTGATTTCCATGGAGACAAAGACATGCGGCGCGACTTCGGTTTCTCGCTGTTTCTGTTGTTGTCAAGTTTGGCAGTGTTGTTATCATCTTTAGGAGATGGACGAGAAGGAATTGAGGTTCTTGGAAGAGTTAGAGAAGCTGTTCTTCTAGCTCTTGTAGTGTGTGATTGGTAGAGTGATTCACTTAGAGCCTCAAGTTCTTCAAGGAGTTGAACATTGGAGTTTCTCTTGCTAGAATTTTCAGCTGCCATAACTATTGAATGAAGTTGTTGCAGCAACAAATTGTGATTCTATTAATGATGATGATTATCACAAAGAGAGAGTTTTTTTTGGACTAGTAAGATGATAAAAATTGTCACATGTGCTATCATGGTTGGTTAAATTGAGAACTTTATGTTAAAAGATTATATGATGATGAAAAATTATGAAGTTGTTGGACATTTGTGAGCCAAGAAAATGGTATGAAGTGAACATGTGGTGGATAAAAGATGAACGGTAGTATTGAATTGATACCTTGGTGATGAAGACAAATATGAAACTTGATAGGTAAAGTGGACCCAATGAATTTAATGAATGTGTTCTTTATTTAGTTACATGTGTTAGTGTTGCATGGGAATAGGGATCTTATGTCAGAATAATTTATGTAACCTTATCACATTATTTCTTCTTATGACTATTACTTTTCATACATGCCAATAAATTTTGATAGTTCCATCTCATCTATTTATGTTATGGACTATAGAGAGATAAATGCCAAAATTTTCACACATGTCATGTAATATTTTAGCATAAGGTGTTTTTTTAAATAAAAAGTAGCAAAGAATGAAATTATTAATGAGTTAAAATGTGAAGAGCATTTAGTTGAAGGGATAGAAGTCTCTTTCAATTTGACTACATCTTTTAGGAGAGAGATTTATCGTTTATTATAGTCTTTTCCGATTTGAGAGGTAATATTTACAGTCTTGTGTGTAGTCAATATCTGATTTTATAAAAAAAAAATGATATTAATAATTATTTTCAATAGGTCATGTGTCATAGGTTTTTAGTCAAACTGAATGGTCTGGTTGGATTAAGTAGTTGTGAGTCATTGCTTGGATATGCTTCAACCATGTAACAACATAAGTCTTAGGTGTTGAAAGAGAAACACTTTAATGTTTTTAAGAGGATACGTGTACAAGAGCATAGTCACCAGCCTTTCCTACCAACAAGTCCTTTTTTTGGGTTCTAAAAGTCTAATTATGAATCACCTTTTGTTGCCTTCTAAGAAAACACCTACATTTTAAAGGCACACACGTGAGTGTTGATGGTAGGGTTTAGTTTTTTCTAATGGCAAAATAATACATCTATAAATAGATAGGAGTTAAAAATCCATCAACAAATAAGAGATCTTAATTAAACTAACTTAAGAAGCGATTAAACTATCATAAGATCATATGATATGTGTTTACTGGTTTTTTTAAAAAAAATTAAGATTGATATTTCAAGATACAAGATCATATGATATATGTTTAGTATTTTTTGTAAATCAAATCATAAATTTTAATTTACTTAAAGATTAAACTCGAAAAAATTTTAAGGACAATTTGTGTAGAATAATATGACAAAAAAGTGTTTGTGTTTAGAATATAAATGTTTGGATAGAAACTATGATTGAAATAATGGAGAGTCGTTTTTGACAAAGAAAGTAAACAAAAAGCATAATTAAGTTAATGTTTGAATTGAATTGCTGGAAACCACTACCCACACTAATAAATGCCTTCGAATCTCCTAACTAACTTTGTCGAGAATCTCCATTTAAATTCCGTAATATTGTCTAAATATCTCTTGTTCAACTGACCTTTTGATTAAAAAATACACTAAGTCCCCATCATCTGATGGGCGCGTCAAATTTGATACTTGTACACCATATCTCTACATCGAAGTGTTGATTTGATGCAAACTTTTTCGAGATTCTGAACATATTTTGAAGAGAGAGTGATACAAATTTTGTGTATCTCTTCCCGAGACTCATCCAAACTAGGGTTAATATGTTTCTAGGTTATCTAAACCTTGAACTGAAAAATGTCGAACTCACCTATTTCAGTCGAAGTTATCAAAGTGTCAAAATTCTAACTTGATCATCTTGTACTTAGCTTTTCACTTCTTTTTTTACACTTTGTATGTCAAGAATTGAGATTCAAGTTCTCAGACTAGCAAATGCCCCCTCAAAATGCCACTATTGATCATATGCACAAGATAGAAAAAAGGTGACAT